ATATATATATATATATATATATATATATATATATATATATATATATATACTGAGTCGGTTGATAGCCAAGCTATCTACCACCCACATTAGGTTGAGTGTAGCGTATGATACTCTTGGTTTGATTTCTTTTTGTATTCAGCCGCGAAGTATGTCGTGCCCCAAAGTCTTTGGCATTTATTTGAATAAACCTGTCTTCAGCCGGTGATCGTCAATTCGTTTTAACGTGTTCGAAATGATGTGGAATGATTGTATCTCTGGATGCGGATGATGTTTCTTAACTGGGCTGCAAAACGTCTGCGAACAACACATCTAGCTCGGAGAACTCAGTAACACCAACATCATCACGTGCTGCTGAATTGGGCGTGCTAAGGCTTAACCACCGCCGATCTCACCTCGGTATGACCCCGGATACTCATGGACTGACCGCATTTCTTTTCCTTGGAAATCGCAATATGGAATTGAAGGAGCATCATTATTATTATTTTTATTGAAAATATTCAGGACTGATGTATTTTGGCATTACATTCCAATGTAAAAATTCGGGTTTCGTGTTCCTTAATGCAGAAGTAGAATTGTTTTGTACCCCTATTGGAGACTGATCAATGACTCCACTTATGCCTTGATTCGTGATACTAACTGGAGGATTTCGTTGATACCCTACTGTAACCATTCCGGAAGTCGTGATACACAGTGGGTGCGACACGTGCCATCATATCCTATACAACACATACCGTGTTATGTTTTGTCGTTTGCTTTTGGCCCGTAAAGTCCATTTGATCTTATTTACGTGATCCTCGCTATGCGTTTTTCATTCTAGATTTACACAACATCTCTTGTTCTCCTTCACCAACCCCGTTTTAATCTCAGGTATGTTTAAGTTGTTCAATCGATTCTGCTCACTATGTAACCTGTTTGACGAGCCTGAGCCGAATCGCACTTCTCCTGCCAAACGTTTACAATCGGCAGTTTAAGAAACTTATCACAAAATCCCTTGTGCAAGAAGTCCTCGTTCGGCAATCGACCAATGCCGATCCCACATCCGTGAACACCTCAAACGCGTCCAAATCTCCACCAAAGTCCGGTCGAAATTCCATCAAAGCACGTTTGACATCGTTGAGTACCTGGCTCCCTGATGGTTGTATTCCACAGATTACACGAGCCAAAGTAGGTGTTACTATTAGTTCGGATGATTTTGTCATTTCATATGTTACTCCTTATATTCCTGTGAATTCATCTGTTTTAATTGCTTGGCCCTGCGTGATAAACAAACAGTCGACCGGTCCTGAATTACATGAAACACATAATTCTCTGAATTACAACATTTGGTTCACTTGGTCCTATTTCTCACCAAGACGCGGCCTCATCCATTTCTCCTCGGTACTGTCTTACCCACAGATATCCGCACTCAAACTAATGGCCAGTTGGCTCCGGGGATTGAAAAATGAGGTGAAACCGGTTGCTCAGGCGGTGATTCGTCTGTTGCATCGAATCATCATTCATGAAGGTGATCTGACGCGAGAAGGAAATTTGTCGTGAGTTCACCAGTTTTTGTTTTGTTCTCGGTCAGTACACCAGACGAAATACAGCTGTGTGGGGCTGGTTTTGGATTCCTCCAGGGAACGTCCCCTGGACACAAACTTTTTCAATTCTTCTTCCTCAGACGGGTGTGAAAAATAATGTTCTTCCCATTCGCTTGTTCACCAAACCATTTCCAACTTCTTAATGGATCTCAGTGATTGAATGAAAACTAAAGTCCTTGAATATTGATTTCTTACAAAACCATCCTTTACGTATACATGTAAATGTTTCTATTTGAACCCACCAGTTGTTTTTCTTAAAAGATATGTCATGAGCATTTTTCTTCTTCGTTTAGAGAACGCTTTCTTGTAACGGATTTGTGAGCTAGAAACAGATAGAGTGAGCTATCATCACCAAGATGAACTGTTACGGGATTGCTAGTTACGTTCGTAAATTCATGGGTTATAACACGCCTTGTTCCCTCTTAGTAGCCTACTATTGCACCACACCCCTCTTTCACTTGTCGCTCTAAGACTCCCTTGAAGATCAGTAAGTGATGTTGAGGCAAGGTCTGATCCATCACATAAAGAGATGTGGCACAATACGTATCGTCCACGAATTGCATATACCCCGCCCATCGTTCAATGTAGATTTCTTTTTTTACAAACGGATGCGTTTCAAAGAAATCCGTGAGGAATAAAGAAAAAATTATTTAAGAAAGAGGAAAAAACCGGTATAGACAAAAAATATGGATAATCTTAAATGTCATTTCGCGCGCCGCGTCTCATCCATCGAGTATTAGTCCGGAAGGCACTGGCTAGAGTGACCATCAAGGTCATACTAGTTATTTGAGCGTTGTCAGTTGTACTGTTCTTAGTTCTCCGCAGAACCGATAATATAAGGTGGTATCTTTTACTTTCGGCCTTCGCGTTGACCACAGTGGTTCGTCCTTTTTTCTTCTTCAAAACGAAATGACTCCCACTCACTTTGTATCCATTGCGAATTTCATATTGTTTGAGAGGTTTCGCTTTGCTGTACGACGATAATTAGTGGAGTACAAAACAATTTTTTGTGGAGTATTGGTAAGTATTAAATTTCGAACCGGACTCTCAGTGACTTTCGAAAACGAGGTCGAGCGGAGAGACGCGTTTGCTGATCACTGAGACACAGGAATGCGAATTCAATGATCACTGCATGGCAACATCAGTAAAAAGCGTCCGTATAAAACTCATAAAACGCCTAAATGACCTTTATTTTGCCACCTCATCCTTCCGCGTGATGGCGGAATTAAAGCGTGTGTACATATGTGCCAAATCAACCTACTAAGCATGGATCAATCATACCGCATTGCTTCTTGTTTATCGACGACTAATGACAAATAACATTGGTAATTTCTGTAAAGTTAGCAAGTTCTTTTATCGTATGAATAGTCACNTATATATATATATATATATATATATATATATATATATATATATATATATCACCAGATAAGTTGCCTCTGAGAGCGATGTTTGGCGGTTGGAAAAAGGTCAGGAGGGGTCAAACGAAGACCTGGCCTGAGGGTATGGAAACCCTAACTAGTTCACATAGGCTCCCTAGCTGGGGACTTTGGGATGATGGTCACCGACGGTTAGAGGCACTGATTGATACGGCTGGGTGTCGCAACCAGGGGCACTCGTTCATCCTTTCATTATTCCCCCAACACCATTCTATATGAACTCTCCATCTTCCGCTTGTATGTGCTCTCAACATTCCAATCTTCGTTCTGCTATTCTGTCCAAATGGGGTTTCAAAAGACAG